CTAAAAATCTTCTGCCTGAGTTGACTCAGAAAGTCAGAGCTGAAAGGAATCTTAGGGACCACCTTGCTCAAGGGTTTCCAACTGTGTTCCTAGGAGAACCTGATGCTCCAAGGTTGTCTGAGGAGATGTCTGTGTATATAGGTCTCCCAGCCTCCATTTCCACTCCATTTTTACCTGCTTTTTTTTTTTTAATTTCAAGCTTTCTTATTGAATAGATAATAATACCATAACATGTTTCCACAAATGTTAAAAGGTTTCAGCTGTTTGAAATATTAGACTTCTGCAGAAGACTTCATTGAAAGAAGGGATTCCCTGGCTTACATAATTTTAAACAGCATTGATCTAAAACAACCTCCTCATTGTACAGACGGGCTGGGTAGGTAAGGTCCAGAGAGCAGAGTTTGCTCCATGAGCTGGGAGCAATGTCGACTTGCTCCCAGGACTTGATCTTGGGACTCCTGACTTCCACGTCATGAGGCCACCTCCGAGTGGCTGTGTCTGCTTCCTGGGCATGAGCAGAGTGCCATGTGGCCACATGGGCCGCAGTGCTGCCTCTATGGCCTGGCTCAGCCCCCACCTCAGTGGAGCCCACCCTCCCTGGTTCTGAGTCCCTGCTCCCTGGAGGGCCTGGCTTTATTAGCCTCCAGTCTTGTTTTCCTCTCTTTGAGCTTGTTTACCAGCAATATGTGTTTTTGGAACCCTTGTTTCCAAGCCAAACAGTGGGAGTAAGATGCTTGGCTTGTGTCAGCAGCTCAACTAAGAGGCCAGATGGAGCCTGGCCTTCGTCACTGTGCCCTCTGGAGGCTGGGCTGGTGTCCCCAGACCAACAGGGGTAATATCGCCTTTGTTCCACCCCAACACCCTTTTCTCCCTGGGCCGACAAACAGCTGGGATTCTTACACTGGATTCTTGAGTGGGATGGAGATTCTGGGATCCTCGGATCTTAAGACGCCCTTCCAAATGACTACATTGCTACTTCTTTATTTGTTTTCTCTGGTGAGGTATGTTGTTATTTCCATTTTTACAGATGGGGTAATGAATTGAGGCCCAAAGAGGTAAAGTTGATTTCTGAGGATCACACAATTGCAAAGTGGTAGAACCAGGGTTTCAACCTGGCTCCAGAGCCCATGAGCTTACCTTTATGCTATCCTGCCTCTGTGAAAGTTTATAACCACTCTGTCCACTATGGTAACCACTAGCCACATGTGGCTGTTTAGATTTAAATTAATTAAAATGAAATACAATTAAAAACTCAATTCTTCATTTGCACTGGACTGGCAACATTTCAAGTGTTCAATAACCACATGTGGCCAGTAACTACCGTATTGGACATTGCAGATAGAGAATATTTTCATCATCTCAGAAAGTTCTATTGGATTGTGTGGCTCCATAAACTCTTTCCACTCAAATCAGCTTTAATAATTGCAACTCAGATTCTGTGCTTCACATTCTAAGAGTCTATGATTCTAAGACCCACAGTCTAAAATTCTGATTCTGAGATGTCCTCTGGTTCTGACATTCAGTGACTTTTCAATGTCCAGGGAGAGCCCGAAGGAGTCCCTTTAGGTTTTGAGGGAGATGAAGCGGGGGGCTGGTTGTACTTTTCCATCCCTAGAGTCTTTCCAAAGAGAGAGAAGTGACCTCAGCTTCAGGTCCCGCTGGCAGGCAAGGATGGGTTTTCAGCCATCTCCAGAGCAAATAAAGGCAAAAGGAAGGGACTTGATGTACGGAACAGGAGGCGGTGGCGGGTTGCGGGTGAGGGGTGTCTGCATTTCACGGCCACTAAGCCAGGGGAAATACATCTCCTTTTCCTCCCCAGGCCCAGGGCATTTTCCATCCCAGCACCTCAGGCCAGTTCATGGCCCAACTGAGCGCCATTCAGGTGACCACCTGGGAGGGAGTGTCCATCAAGGGAAATAGTGAGCTGAGGTAGAGAAGTTGCATTGCTGGAGTAGGGCTGCCTGGGTCCTCACCCTAGCCCTGCCGCTCACTCACTGGGGCTATCGGCTATTGGCAGGTTTCTTCCACTCTGTAGGCCTTGTTCTCTCTATCGGGCAGGAAGACATGCCTTGAGGCCCTACTGGGATGCTGGATTATGAAAACACTCTGACAAGAATAAGTATATACATCATCATAAACTAAAGAATTAGGTCATTTATATGAAGGATGTTTATATTTTGGGCAGGCATGCTAGACCTAGGTTTGATTGGCAAAGGATCACAGCTGACAAGTTCTGAATGCTGGGGTTTGACCCAGTGTTCTGATCTTGCTGCGGTGACTGCTGCATTCCATTAGCTTTGCAAGACGGACCCCGGCCTCTTTGGCCAGTGGTGTTTTAGAGAACCTCAGAGAGATCTCATGGGTATGCAGGAGTGTAGCGGTGCATCCAGAATAGTCCAGCTGCTTCCCTTCCCTCCCATCCAGTCACCTGGAGGAAAAGGGTTCTGGGACTGGTGTTGTTGCACTGGGCCCTGGTAAGAGCACAAAATTTGGAAAATAACTCTTCCTCCAAGGTTTTGTGTTCTGTTCTTAACAGTCCATCTGTCTGCATTTCTCCCCCACCCCCACCCCAGTCTCTAAGCATAATCACTATGCGGCCCCACCCACCTCCATGAGAAGGGAGGCTTGTCAATCTAGAATGCCTCTGAATGCTGCATGGCTTTGGGCAAGTGCTTCCTGACTCAGTCTCCCTCAGGAGGCTCCAAGGGGCAGTATATCTGTGAGAGTGCTTTACAAACTATAAAGCACCACTTAGAGACTTAGAAGATTTTTCTCTTCTGGCTGCAACAGCAGGGATGGGGGGTGGGCAGAGAACATGCGTGCAGCCGGGAAAGGACTGCAGAGGATGATGAGGCAGAGACGGAAGAGACTTTTTCCTGGCAACAGTGTGGAGCGGAGCTCCTCTGCTCAGATGGCACACATAGACTTGGAAGCATTGGTCTCCCTGGCTCTCTAAACTGAAGTTTATCACATGTCCAGTCCTTGCTGGGCCATTTCTCTGACTTCTCTGTCATTAGAGTCCAAACAGGGTGACTGTTTTTTGGTTCTAGCTGCCAGTCTCACTTGGACCCTTCAACTTCAAACAATCTCAGACAAGTCCGTCATTGATATTTTCTTCCCTGTTGCATTTGTCCAGAGCTACATGCAGGAGTTGTTTTGCTTGTGTCTTCCAAATAGGGAAGTGAGGAGGGAGATTTTTCCACTTAAGCCTGGGGGAACAAGTGAATAACTGTGTGAGAGGGAGGAATATTCCAAAAACTACCTGGAAAGAGAAGACCAGACTCCTCTGAGAGTTGGGGCCATTGTGAAGCAATGCCAAGCTCCCAGGACAACTCCTTCAAATTCCTGTTAGTTTTATTTCATGCACACTCCATAAAATGTCAGGGTATGTCCCATCACCGTGCTTGTCAGTTGAGAAGTCTTTGAAGGAACTAGGGATGATGACCCTAATGTGGAAGTTTTAGGAGACAAAAGAGGAAAAACAGGGCCACTGTTGCCCTTGACTGAAAGGCTATTTGTGGGCAGAAGGAGAAGGCTTGTTCTATATGGCTACAGAAAGAGGGACAGAGTAGATGACCAGTAGAAGTTTGAGGGAGGCAGATTTAGATAAAAAGGCTATTTGTGGGCAGAAGGAGAAGGCTTGTTCTATATGGCTACAGAAAGAGGGACAGAATAGATGAACCAGTAGAAGTTTGAGGGAGGCAGATTTAGATAAGGAAGAACTTTCCAAAGCCATTTGGAAATGGAAATCTATGTAGTTAGCACAAGAAATAAAATGTCCCCACCACAGATCCTCTGTTAGGGATGGCATTTTGGTATTGACTCATCAAAGGAGATTCTTCTCTAAAATCCCTTACAGTTATGAGAGTATTACAGTCTACAGCTTGGCATCTAAAGAGCAAGGTCTCAGCAGTGACTAGGACAGGGTTTGACTCATCAAAGGAGATTCTTCTCTAAAATCCCTTACAGTTATGAGAGTATTACAGTCTAGAGCTTGGCATCTAAAGAGCAAGGTCTCAGCAGTGACTAGAACAGGGGAATTTTCTAGGTCTCAGCTAACATCCCCTCTGAAGCATATGGAAGCATATGGATAGCTTTCCCAGAGGACCCAGAAAAGTGCTGTCCCTTCTGGGTAGTATGGAGAAAAATGTAGCCACCCTCAAGTTTCCATGTGTAGCTCTCCAAGGCTATCATTCTTTGTTTTAGAATGTGGATCTCATTGTCTCAAATTGGCAAGAGATTGCTGCCTATTAACTTCCCCCATTGCAGAGGAAGAGAGGGAGGGAGAGGAGGAGAGGTTGGGGTGTAGGAAAAAAACAATGCTAGAACATCAGGGATTGAAAGGCCTTTGAAGATGATTTAGTTCAACATTGCCCAAACTTGACTAATTAGCCCATTATCTTCATTGAATCACTTTTGAGAAACTTAAATAAACGTATCAAGAAAAAAGACTTAATCATTACCATAAATGGAAAACTGTGTACCTTTGTTGTAAATAGAAGGAAACTAAAAAAACAAACCCAAAGAGAACAAAACAACTTTATTAATTCCAGCTGGATGTAGTTTCCTGTGGAGGTTCTGAGCCAGAAGGCTGCTCTCTTGTTGTTAAAAGGGGAGATAGATGTGTTAGAGAGGTATTAAGACATCTCAGCACCAAACGGAGACTTTCTCCTCATATAATCAGGATTGAAAGAATATCGAATGGAACTGACTTCTCATTTCTTTCAATGTCACTTAAAACTTTGTCTAGTCAACTAAAATTATCTTGCATTTCACAGAAATTCAGAAGAAACTCAAAGGAAATCTCCATCAGGACCCCCCCCACCACAATTATCTTGCATTTCACAGAAATTCAGAAGAAACTCAAAGGAAATCTCCATCAGGACCCCCACCCCCCCCAACACACACACACACTGAAATCTCAATCTCTCCTTCCTGCAGGGTTCCCAGCACCATGAGGGCCTGGATCTTCTTTCTCCTCTGCCTAGCTGGGAGGGCCTTGGCAGCCCCTGTAAGTACCTAAAGATTATATCTTCTTGGTCTTTTCTCCAAGCCACCAGCTCTGGGGGTCCTAAACCTGCCAGCCCTGGATGTTCAGAGGGGACAGAATCTTCTCCATCTCAAATTAGTTGCGTTATTTCTTAAAAAGATTTTTTCTTAAATGAATAAGCTCAGGAGAAAAACTGGGATGAGGACCATTGGAGTTTCCAGAGAAGAAAGAGTTCTATGAAACATGAAGATGAACTTTAATGAGAGCCCATCTGGCTGAAAAGAGCAGTTTCTTTCAACCTGTGATTCCCTCATTCTCTCTTCACTAGGAGGTGGGCGTGGTGGTAGACCCTGGTGAGCTTGACCAGGATGATAGATCTGGGCAAAAGATTTTAGAGGCAGCCCCAGCCAGCCAGGAGCCTTAAAGTTATAGGTTATTTTGCCTCTTTCTAACCCAAGTTGAAATGGCAATGAGGAATTGCCTAATAATGATAATGATGATAATAATAATAATATCGCTTTGGGGAAGAAAATGACATCTGTTAAAATTCATGGTGTCCATCCCCTCTGGGTGTCAGTATTTTCATCTGTAAGATGAAGGGGGTTTAGTTTGGATCAGTTGTTCCAGATAATTTTCCAAGCTAAATCTTGGAAGATCTAGATAGACACCTCAGATATAAAATGCATAAAAGGGGAGCTGTCTGGAATTCTGGGGGCCCACCTGTTCGGCTTCCCCTTTGCCCTATCCATGGCAGTCCATGAGGCACAATCTTGGGAATCTCCAATGAGTTGCTCTTCAGGCTCCCCTAGCCTGTTTCAGGCCAGAGGCATTGCAGTCGTGAGGCTGGCCTTGGCTCTGACCTCTCTGAACCCTCTTTTTCTTTCCAGCAGCAGGAAGCCCTGCCTGATGAGACAGAGGTGGTGGAGGAAACCGTGGCAGAGGTGACCGAGGTACATGGGTGGTGACCCCAGACCCCTCTTGGCCCTCATCTGTTCCTGGGGAATCCAGACAGCTGCTGGGGGTCCCCACACTGGAATGGAGCATTTGTCCCCTTCCTGTGTGCACACACAGCATAGATTTAAATCCTGAGTATCCCCCAAATCCTGGCATACTTCTGAATGCTTCCCAAACATTCACTGGAACCACACAGTTGGGAGCCAGCCTTTCAAAATTTTTAAAATTTTCTTCCATGACCACCCACAGTCCCCCCATACATAAAACAGATGGAAGGGGAGCTGCTCAGGTGTGGCTGGCAGGGGTGGAGGGCTTGGCACCCTCTGTTGCCCTAACACTTCTGGTGGCCTGTCCGGCATCTCAACAGAATTCCAGGGCACTACAACACACAGTGGGTTTATAAGATTAACATCTAAATGCTCAACCCTGGCATCTGTCCTCTGTGTGACCTGGTCCCAGCCCACCTTTCCAGCTTGTCTCTCGCTATCCCCTTGTGGGCACCTGAAGCTTTAGGCAAGCCCCTTCCAATCTTTACCCCTTTCTTCCATGTCTGGGATGTGTGTGTGGGGGGGTATTTGACTCCTTCTCCCTCCATCTCAGGAACCTGTGGGAGCCAACCCCGTCCAGGTGGAAGTAGGAGAATTTGATGAAGGAGCTGAGGAAGCTGAAGAGGAGGTGGTGGCTGAAAGTAGGTCCCTTCCCTGTGATGTGGCACAGCCAGTCTGCCCTTGGCTGCCTGGGGCATGGGGACAGCCTACGTGAGGTTCCTTCCCAAGGAAATGCAGGGAGGGGTCCTCAGTGGGCTGTGGAAAAGAAACGGCTTTGACATAAAGGCTGGGAATATTCTCTGGCACTCATTCCCTCGGAATCTGGGAAAGCTCTATTTATAGCTGGGCCATCCATGCTGTACATAGCAGGAAGGGAAGTCCCCCAGCTGGAGGTGGCCTTCTCCCCTCACAGCTCTTTGCCCTGATTCCAAGTTGGGTTTCACATTCCTACTGAGATCACTGGTCACAACTGGTCACTGAGATCCCTCAAGGCCTCTGTCTCAGCCCAAGCCCGGCACAGGAGCAGATATGAGATTAGTGATTAGAACTGCACACTCATTAGCTTATTTGATTTTCACACAGCCCAAGAAAATGAAGCCCCAAGAGAAGGAAACCTCACATAACTCATATAAAGCTAGCCATGGAGTTAGTGCCAACTGCACACTCATTAGCTTATTTGATTTTCACACAGCCCAAGAAAATGAAGCCCCAAGAGAATGAAACCTCACATAACTCATATAAAGCTAGCCATGGAGTTAGTGCCGGGAGAGAAATGACCTAGGGCCTCTGGCTGGAGTCCTTGTGCTGAGGCATTTGTACTCAAGGGGTTAAGAGCATGGACTTGGGAAGCAAAATATCCAAGGTTTGAATCTAGGCTTCTCCACGAAAGCTTGCTTAGCTCCTGGAGCTCAGCTTCCTCGCCTCTAATGGGGGAGGGGGGGAGCTGATGAAGATGATGGACCCTCGCCCCAGGGCGTCAGGAGAATTATGCATGGGAGTGCTTGGCGCAATGCCAGGCAGAGGAGGCATCCAATAGGGATAATCAAAATACCCAAAGTTAAGCATTAGGAGGGAAAGGCTAGATCAGGCTCTCATCCTGAGGGGATAATCAACTGGTGTGCAGACCAAGCTGGGTACAGGGTTTTTGTTGGAGTGGAATGGCAGCTGCTGAGTCCTGTTCCTTCCCGCCCCCACACCCACCTCATCCGGAGTTTACCACACACAGCTGGTCTCTATTGTCCACTGGGGGCCTCAGGCTCTTCTCCCTTTTCCTTTACAGTCATTTAAGTCTGTTTTGTTGGGCCTCATAGCTCCCTGGCTCTGGGACAACAGCTGACGATTTCCGAGCCATTCTGTAAGGTCTATTCTAGAATCCAGAAATGCCTGACTGTGATTGTTTAACTGAGAGCTGGGGACATAACGGTTACTTCAATCCTCAGGGGAGTCATATAGATCCAGTGTTTCTGGGTCCCAGACTGGGCTTCCAGCCACCCCGCTAAGTGCCTGACCCTGACCTCGGACTGAACCTCTGATCCCCAGACTGAGCCAACTGCTCCCTTAAATGCCGATTGCTAGGCTCAGCGGAAGAGCGGGCAGGACTCAGGGCTGCCCAGAGCCCAGAGTGGGGGCCACAGCCAAGGACTGACCTGGATTGGCTTGGGGAGGACATGCTAGCCCGGGTATGCTAACTCCATGCCCTTGCGCCCTATCAGACCCCTGTCAGAACCACCACTGCAAACATGGCAAGGTGTGCGAGCTGGATGAGAACAACACCCCCATGTGTGTGTGCCAGGACCCCACCAGCTGTCCTGCCCCCATTGGCGAGTTTGAGAAGGTAAAGTCTGTGGGATGGGTACAGGGGTCTGGGGGATTGTGCCCTTCAGAACACAGAGGATCTGCCTAGAAAACTGTTGGCTTGGTGATTCTATGGGGCGGCAGAAAAGTGGAGATGAGTCAGAAGTGAGGCTTGGCCTATCTCTGGATCTCTCCAGCAACCAGCAAGAATTTGTTCAGCACCATTGTATTCCAAGCTCTATGCCACACTCAGACGCTTGGAACTCATAGAATTCCAAGCTCTCTGCCCAATGCAGTATATCCTCAGAAGAGAAAATATCGGTCCCACCAAGGACTGAGATAGGGGCTTCCTCCACTTGAGAGCAGCTTAGCAAAGCATCAGGTTCAAAAACGTGGGTTCTGGAGCCGGACTGAAGGTAACTTCAAACCCATCTCGATCAACTTGTTGGCTATGAGATCTTAGCTAAGGTGCTGAACCATCCAATTCTCAGTTTTCTCATTTCTAAAGAGGGGATACAAATTGTGAGGATTTTTCAGATAACGCTTGGTACATAGTAAGTACTCAATAAGTGCTACTCTTTTTTTTTAATCTCTCAGACCTGTTTATTCTATTTCCAATAGGGCCCATCTGTCCATTTATTCATCCTGAGGATTTTTCAGATAACGCTTGGTACATAGTAAGTACTCAATAAGTGCTACTCTTTTTTTTAATCTCTCAGACCTGTTTATTCTATTTCCAATAGGGCCCATCTGTCCATTTATTCATCCATCCATCCATCCATCCATCCATCCATGTAAATACTTTTTGAGTACCCACTCATTGGGCTAGTGCCAGCCTAGCTCAGAGCAGCAAATCTAGTACCAGCGCTATTCCCACAACCTCCCATATGGCTTCTCCGTTTTCAGTCTTCATAGCCCTGGGCTCCAAATTTTAACATCATTGTTAACTCTTCCCTCCTCTTCACGCCCCCCCCCAGAACCCCCTGGTCACCAATGCCCATCAGTTCCCCATGTCAGTGATGTATGAGCAACAAACACTAAGTGAGTATATGCAAGACGTTCAACACAAAGCTCCCTCCTCCTAACACAGCTACTTACTGTCACTGCCCTCATTCAGTCCTTGGCGTCTCTGCTTGGCCACCCTTGTGTCCAGAGACTCACTAGAGGACTCAAATGGCTGAGCATACAGCTGTACTCGCAGCTAAGGTTTATTGCAGTGACATATTAAGGATATACAGCTGGATCATAAGGAAAAAAGACACTGGCAGATCCTGGAGGAATCCATGCACAGACTTACTTATTCCATCCAGTGTGGGGTCACACAGAGCACACTCTTACCCCAGCTACAAAAATACAACCACACATGAGTGATGTTTCTACCCAGGGAAGCCCATTAGAGACTCAGCACCAAAGTTTTAACTGGGGGCTGGTCACATAGGCACCTTCTTCTTCCAGACTCCCAGAAGGAAAGCAGATGTTTAGCATAAACCATATTGTTTGTGCAAGCACCGGGAGCCATCCTTATTAGTTAGGGAAAGATTTACAACAGTGCAGGGAACTGTTTGCCAGCCAAGTTCTCAGACACAGGCCAAGGAACAACCTAGCAAGCAGGTCTTTCTAAGGATAGAAGTCCCGGGCCTGCTATCTTAACCCTTCTTTGTACACTCTGTCTTTTCCCCATCCCCATGTTAACTCATCCTTCAAGTACCTTCCAGGCTCGTGTTCCCAAACATAGCTCAGCCCTGACTCAGTTGCGCCTCTGTTCAGAGACCATCGGTGGCTCTCGGCATCGGCTGAACATTGGTCTGGGAACCCAAAGAGAGGGTTTTTGTCCCACCTCCACCACTAACTTACTGTATGACCTTGGGCCAATCACATTTCCTGTTGGATCTGAGTGTCCCCATCTCTGAAATGCACAAGGATGGTGGTACCAGAGAAGGGCTTTGGGAGTAAAGGAGGGCGTGCTCTGTGCTTTGCCAACAGGTGTGCAGCAATGACAACAAGACCTTTGACTCTTCCTGCCACTTCTTTGCCACAAAATGCACCCTGGAGGGCACCAAGAAGGGCCACAAACTCCACCTGGACTACATCGGGCCTTGCAAATGTGAGTCATCTCAGGGCAGGAGCTCTGCCCTGGTACCAAGGCTTGCTCTGCTGCCCCATACTGTGTGACCTTGGGCAAATCTCTTCGCCTTTCTGAGTCTCAGGGTTCCCACCTATAGAATGAGGTGATTGTTTGTCAGTAGATTCCTCTTAACTGTGAGTTCAGGACATCTCGCAGAGAAAGACTGAGCAATTGTGAAAGCACACGATCAGGGAGGGTTTCTGGAGCTTCTCACTAGCATCCAAGACAACTGTATTTCATTTCTCTCATGATGAAGAAGTTCTTCTATGAGAAAAACCTAAATCTTTTCTGCTTCAACACTATAAAGAAAAAATGATATTCAACCTGGGCCTAAAAAGTGTTTTTTAAATATTTAAATTTGAATGCTTTAAAATCGGGGCATGCCTGTCCGTCTCTTTTAGGCCCTGTTACTCAGTATGGTCATATCCTTGGTCCTTTGCCTTCCTGTCTCCTCTCTTAAGACATATGGTAACCACGCTCTTCTGGAAGCCTAGGAGTCAGGTGTTTGAGGGATGGTACGCCAGAGTGTTATCTGGCCTTCTGTTAGTGATTCCAGCTGCAGACTCAGCTGGCCCAGATGCCTCATTCAGCATCCTCCTTATCACTTGAAACACCTAAGACCACACCTGCTCCCCCCTCCAAGACAAGATCCATATTGTGTGTCTAGTACATTCTGATACCAGCTGGCACTGAAGAGAGCCACTCACCTGCCTCAGTGTGCAGGGCACAGAGAAAGCTGGGGTGGCAGGGTGTAGCAAACACAATCCTCCTTGTGGTCAGCCTCACTCTCCCAATTATAGAGCCCAGGGTGTGACATGAGAAGGTACTGGCTACAGAAGGAGGGTAGAGGGAGGAAATGTTGGTAGGAAATTCTTGGGCAGTGAGACTAAGGAGCGCCCCAAGGAGCCTTTACCAAGTGGCTTTTGCTGTCCTCTGAGGCGTACTGCCCACTCTCTCCAGCTGCTAGTGTTTGCACCGCAGAAGTCTCTTCCACTCCGCAGCTGATGCTGGTGGAGATAGTGGCCCTAACCCACCGAGGGGGCTTTCCATAGGTCCACAGGTGAGGGGAGAACAACCCCTGAGCCCCCAGGCAACCACACTGCCCTGGACACTGGAGGAGGCTTTGAGAATGTGGCCTGGAGCAAGCCCCTCTCTCCACACTGTCCTCGAATAAGTCCAATAAGAGGGGTGCCCTTGGACAAAGTCTTCGGGTCTGACATTCTGGGGTTCTAGGATCCAAAGACCAGGATGGAATCATTTTCTGTAAGAAAGTTCTGGTGGTTATGCATTCCTGATTCCTCTAGCCCCACACCCACCAAGCCGGGCCTAAGGACAGATGTTATTCCCTAGACTCCCAGCTTCGGACACCTGCCAGTGGTGGACCTCACCAGTGTGGGCCCAGCCTCTGCTAGGATCACACCCAGGGCCCACTGGGGTGGACCATCTCCCTCTGCAGATCAGATCAAGGCCCAGGAGGCAGCAGACGTGCCTTTGCACTTTTCCATTTTTAGAGCATCTTTCCCACACACAACCTCCTTTGCTCATCATCCTGTGGAGCCACTGTGCCAAGGTCACCGGTTGAAGTGTCTGTGGGAGTTGCTCATGGGGTGGGGAGAGTGGCCCAGGCAGCACACTGGCCCTCGGGCAGGGAGAGTTAGGGTCTGTGCTGACACCCTCATGTTTTGGAACCTAGACATCCCCCCCTGCCTGGACTCTGAGCTGACCGAATTCCCCCTGCGCATGCGGGACTGGCTCAAGAATGTCCTGGTCACCCTGTATGAAAGGGACGAAGACAACAACCTTCTGACCGAGAAGCAGAAGCTGCGAGTAAGTCGTCTCTTTCCAGCCTGTCCCAGGGTGTCTGCCTGGCCCTGCTGGCCCCCTGCTGGCTGGGCTCCAGTCCCAGTCCTAGATCTAGGCCCCCCACTGCAAGCCAACACCAAACCCTGGAGAGTGCATTTACCCTGGGCCTGGGCACCAGGACACATACTCCTCTTCTCTCTGCCTTTGGAGGCTCATAGCACACATTAACATCTTAAAGGCTCTAATAAGTCCTGTAGTAAGGAGACCTGCTCACTCTGTTTAGCCAAGTGTTAAAAAAAGAGACACAAACAATCCTATTCTTTTTCCTTCTGAGTCTGTGAATTTTCACCTTTAATGGGCATATCAAGCACCCCAAGGTGCCGATACCTCTGCTCTCCCCAGGCCTACTGAAAGGTGTCTCTATGAAGCAAGGCCCAGGAAGTTGCATTTTAACCTACTCCCCAGGTAATTGTGATGTGGGTAGCTCTATGAAGAATCCTTGAGAGCATCCTAGGCCCCCACTTTTGTAAATAAGAAGCTGGCACACATCTATGCCACTTCCTTCCCCTCATTGTGAGCTTTGGTCTTGGTTGGTCTCTGCCTGCTCTGGCTTCCTGTCAGAGGTGGGAGGGGCCCCAGCTGGCCTGGACAGTCTCCCTTGGACCCCTTGCTCCCCTGGACCCCATTGTCTCTGCTCCCACAGGTGAAGAAGATCCATGAGAATGAGAAACGCCTGGAAGCCGGAGACCACCCCGTGGAGCTGCTGGCCCGGGACTTCGAGAAGAACTACAACATGTACATCTTCCCTGTGCACTGGCAGTTCGGCCAGCTGGATCAGCACCCCATTGACGGGTAAGACCCCAGACCCTCAGGACCACAGGGGTGTGCTCTGGAGTGGCCCTGAAGTGGACACAGTCTTGGGTCCAGGCTGGCAGGTGCACTGGGCATGGCTTCTCAGAAGCCTCTGCTGCTCCCAGCCCCGGAGCCCACAGTTTGCCTGGGGGTTTGAGCAGAAGGCGTAGGCATCTGCAGAAAGGATGCAGACCTGGGGGGTGGGGAGGAGCAATAAGACACTTTTTCATGCCAGAGGCAGAAGTCAGCAGGAACTGAAATTACCTCCCCTTAATCCTGCAAGTACTGGGGCTTGATCACCCATTAGTGAAGGAGAGTGAGTCAGGAAGGAGTACCAGACTCCAGGAGGTGGCAGGGGCCAGGGTGGGGGCAGCCCACTCATCCTCCTTCAGCAGAACATGCTGGAGCAGATCAGCCACCTGGCAGTGTCTAAGCCCCATCCTGAGGTCCAGCCCCAACTGGCCCTCAAAGTTCCTAAAAAAACCAGAATCAATCCCATCCTTTTTGCAAGCCCCTGGTTTGAGGGCTCTTGCCCTTGTCCAAATGAGTTAGGCAGTGCTGGGCACTTTATGTGCCTGGGGGAGTGAGGCTGTGCCCAGGGAAGCTCCTGTCTGGGATGCTCACCCCTCGCTCTTTGTCTAGCCTGTGTTCCTGGAGCCTGCCCACCCTGCCAGAGGTCCTGGGTGGCTGGGGTCTCCTGAGCTCTGGGAAGCTCCCAGCGGCTTCTCTCCCAGGCTCTTGCCATGGCTGGATTCCAACTGAGTCACTCACTGTGGAGGGGAGGGGAAAAGTCAGGGGGGAACATCTGGCGCTCAGGCTGAGCAATTGGATCCCACTGCAACAAAGCGGCCTTGAGTGAGGTTTCCAGATGGGGCTGCAGGGACTGTGCATCTGGGAAAGTGCTGCAGCCTTGGGGCATCCGCTGCCTCCTCCTCTTGTCTCAGAGCTGTAGGTGGCCTTGCCTGCGCCCCTGCCCCTCCCCAGGCCTCAGTTTCCCACTGGTACAATGAAGAGGGGTTGTATTCCTTCCAGTACAAACATTGTGTGACTCCTTGTATGAGTTGGGTGGGACTGGGAGGTCTGGAGGTTAGAAAGAAAATTGGAGTCACATTGTTCCCTGGAGTCCCTTGGGGGGAGGAATGTTTTGGGGACAACTAGCTGGGGCCTCTGGGGAATAACCAAAAAAATCACACATGTGCTCTGGAGTCTTAAGGCCAGAAGGGAGAATAGGGATGGAGGACAGTTGGGGGGAGGAATGTTTTGGGGACAACTAGCTGGGGCCTCTGGGGAATAACCAAAAAAATCATACATGTGCTCTGGAGTCCAAGGCCAGAAGGGAGAATAGGGATGGAGGACAGCAGGAGACCTGCTCACTCTGTTTAGCCAAGTGTTAAAAAAAGAGACACAAACAATCCTATTCTTTTTCCTTCTGAGTCTGTGAATTTTCACCTTTAATGGGCATATCAAGCACCCCAAGGTGCCGATACCTCTGCTCTCCCCAGGCCTACTGAAAGGTGTCTCTATGAAGCAAGGCCCAGGAAGTTGCATTTTAACCTACTCCCCAGGTAATTGTGATGTGGGTAGCTCTATGAAGAATCCTTGAGAGCATCCTAGGCCCCCACTTTTGTAAATAAGAAGCTGGCACACATCTATGCCACTTCCTTCCCCTCATTGTGAGCTTTGGTCTTGGTTGGTCTCTGCCTGCTCTGGCTTCCTGTCAGAGGTGGGAGGGGCCCCAGCTGGCCTGGACAGTCTCCCTTGGACCCCTTGCTCCCCTGGACCCCATTGTCTCTGCTCCCACAGGTGAAGAAGATCCATGAGAATGAGAAACGCCTGGAAGCCGGAGACCACCCCGTGGAGCTGCTGGCCCGGGACTTCGAGAAGAACTACAACATGTACATCTTCCCTGTGCACTGGCAGTTCGGCCAGCTGGATCAGCACCCCATTGACGGGTAAGACCCCAGACCCTCAGGACCACAGGGGTGTGCTCTGGAGTGGCCCTGAAGTGGACACAGTCTTGGGTCCAGGCTGGCAGGTGCACTGGGCATGGCTTCTCAGAAGCCTCTGCTGCTCCCAGCCCCGGAGCCCACAGTTTGCCTGGGGGTTTGAGCAGAAGGCGTAGGCATCTGCAGAAAGGATGCAGACCTGGGGGGTGGGGAGGAGCAATAAGACACTTTTTCATGCCAGAGGCAGAAGTCAGCAGGAACTGAAATTACCTCCCCTTAATCCTGCAAGTACTGGGGCTTGATCACCCATTAGTGAAGGAGAGTGAGTCAGGAAGGAGTACCAGACTCCAGGAGGTGGCAGGGGCCAGGGTGGGGGCAGCCCACTCATCCTCCTTCAGCAGAACATGCTGGAGCAGATCAGCCACCTGGCAGTGTCTAAGCCCCAACTGGCCCTCAAAGTTCCTAAAAAAACCAGAATCAATCCCATCCTTTTTGCAAGCCCCTGGTTTGAGGGCTCTTGCCCTTGTCCAAATGAGTTAGGCAGTGCTGGGCACTTTATGTGCCTGGGGGAGTGAGGCTGTGCCCAGGGAAGCTCCTGTCTGGGATGCTCACCCCTTGCTCTTTGTCTAGCCTGTGTTCCTGGAGCCTGCCCACCCTGCCAGAGGTCCTGGGTGGCTGGGGTCTCCTGAGCTCTGGGAAGCTCCCAGCGGCTTCTCTCCCAGGCTCTTGCCATGGCTGGATTCCAACTGAGTCACTCACTGTGGAGGGGAGGGGAAAAGTCAGGGGGGAACATCTGGCGCTCAGGCTGAGCAATTGGATCCCACTGCAACAAAGCGGCCTTGAGTGAGGTTTCCAGATGGGGCTGCAGGGACTGTGCATCTGGGAAAGTGCTGCAGCCTTGGGGCATCCGCTGCCTCCTCCTCTTGTCTCAGAGCTGTAGGTGGCCTTGCCTGCGCCCCTGCCCCTCCCCAGGCCTCAGTTTCCCACTGGTACAATGAAGAGGGGTTGTATTCCTTCCAGTACAAACATTGTGTGACTCCTTGTATGAGTTGGGTGGGACTGGGAGGTCTGGAGGTTAGAAAGAAAATTGGAGTCACATTGTTCCCTGGAGTCCCTTGGGGGGAGGAATGTTTTGGGGACAACTAGCTGGGGCCTCTGGGGAATAACCAAAAAAATCATACATGTGCTCTGGAGTCCAAGGCCAGAAGGGAGAATAGGGATGGAGGACAGCGGGAAAGACATTAGAAGGGCCTCCCACAGACCTTACGTGAGGCACTGAAAGCGAAAGCTCTCTGAGGTCAGCGTTCCTGTTGACCCCCACGGCCAATCCAGTCCCTTCCCACACCCCTCCCCGGAAGCCAGCGCTGTCTCATTTGCTGTGACACTCTTTAGATCCTTTTCTAGGCATTTACACCTGTATAAGTGTGTTCAGAGAAACCATAGGTGTTGTTTCATACCAGATATTGTTCTACCAATAGCAGAAGTGCTGAATGTTTTGATTTTGAGTTTCTGTGCCCCCAATTCTCAGTCAATTAGGAAACAATTAAATGCACCAAGAGTCCCTTGTTATTGAGCTCTTGAGACTTCAGACCTGGAAATGTCCTAAGAAATTACTGCTAGCCCCTCCCCTTCTTTGATGGAGGCAGAAACTGAGGCTCAGCGAGGGGCACTGCTATCTTCTCAGTCTCACAGCAGGTCTGTGCTAGAGCTGGGGAAGACCCAGGATCCCGGCTTTCCGTCCTGCCTGAGCATCCTTTCCCTCTGGCTACGGCAGACTAACTCCCCCGCTGTGTCCCCATGCTGGGGGTGGGGGGCTTTCCCTTGCCTCAGGCCCTCCCTTGCCTCTCCCTGCAGGTACCTGTCCCACACTGAGCTGGCCCCACTGCGTGCTCCCCTCATCCCCATGGAGCACTGCACCACCCGCTTTTTCGAGACTTGTGACCTGGACAACGACAAGTACATCGCCCTGGACGAGTGGGCCGGCTGCTTCGGCATCAAGGAGCGTGAGTGTCTGGACAAAGGGGTGCAGGCAGGAGCGTCGCTCCCGGGGGCTGTCAGCTGTCATCCCCCCACCTCCTGCTCTCTCTGTCTGTGTGCCTGTCCTCTCTCTGCCTGTCTCTCCTCTCTGTGCACATTTGGCTCCTGTCTGCTCTCCCTGTCTGGGTTGGCCTTGCTCTCTCAGACACCTTCCTGTTCCTTCTCTGTCCATCTGACTGCCTCCTTCTCTCTCCCTCCCTCAAGCGTTAGCTCTCTTGCTGTGCCAAGCACTATTTTGGGAACTGGCAGGCACTTGGAGAGGAAACAGGAAGAGTAACTTGGCAGCATATTCAAGAGATAGGGACAAGCCAGAGACAGGGAGGCCAAGGTTCCTCAGTCACCAACTTCCTGGGTGGCCTTGGGCTGGTCACCTGGCCTCCTGTTCCTCGGGGCGGGTGGGAATCCACGGACTCCTCTGGAAGCGTGTCTTCCTCACCACAGGGCCCCCTGTTTAACGCTGCTCTCTCTTCTTGCTTTGCAGAGGATATCGACAAGGATCTTGTGATCTAAATCCGTGCCTCCTGCCACAGTACCGGATTCTCTCTCTTTGACCCACCCCTTCTTGTTTTCCCCCAATGTTTAAAATGTTTGGATGGTTTGTTGTTCTGCCTGGGGACAAGGTGCTAACATAGATTTAAATGAATACATTAACGGTGCTAAAAATGGAAATTGTAACCCAAGTCATGACATTCTTAGTTGTAACTTCGCTATCAAGGCCTTTTTTGCTCACGCATTAATGGACCCATTTTTCTCTTGCCGTTTGCAGCATGCCTGTTGTCTTACTGGCACACAGGTGGAAACTCATCTGCTTGGCTCTGCCTTAAACACACACTGCACCTTCAAATTTTCTCTCTATCTTTCTGTTTGAAACTAATACTCACCAAGTTGGACTTTGTATTAATTTTATTTCAAGGTATCAGCTGCCTGAGAGTCTTCTCCTGGTGGCCTGGAGTTGGGCAAAGGGAAGTAACAGACATATGATGTTGGCAAGGACATTTTGGGGACTAGGGGACCAGTGGTGGGAGAAAGCCCTGCAGAACCCACCTGCTGGAACTGCAGACAGCACGTCTTGTTTGCCTGGTGCTATAACTGAGAGAAAGATTCTGGGGCCGTGTTAAGAAAATACATAAACTCTCACCTAAGCCCAGTTCCCCACCATTTCCTCCCTCACCTGTCAGGGCAGTTTCTTTTCATATTCGCTGTTTGTTTAAACTTTTGGGGTGCTGTGGCCCATCAGTGCATGGGGGTGGATCAGCACATCCCATGGGCTGCTTCCCTCCTAGCTGTCTTTTGGAGAGTCAGGCCTCTTCTCAGGGCTCCAGGGACTGGGAGGTTGTTTCAGCCAGGGAAGCCAAAATCAAGAGTGAGACGTAGGAAGCTGTATAATAGAAAAAGTGGGGTTGGTGAATCGGTTGTTTTGTTTTCACATTTAGATGGCTGTCATATGGTTTCTAGCATGTTCCTGCTTTTCTTTCCCCTCTTTTTTCTTCTATTAATCAAGAGAAACTTCAAAGTCAATGGGATGGTCGGATCTCACAGGCTGAGAACTTGTTCACCTCCAAGCATTTCATGAAAAAGCTGCTTCTTATTAATCGTACAAACTCTCGCCGTGATGTGAAGAGTTTGACAAATCTTTCAAAATAAAAAGTAATGTCTTAGAAACTGCCTTCCTGGGTGATTTTGCATGTGTCTTAGTCTTAGTCACCTTACTGCCCTGACTCAGACAGCTGGGCTTCCTGGTCTACACACGGCCGCACAGATGCAAACCTTTGCAAACACATTCCTACACTTGTGTGCACACCCCTGCACACACACAGTCTTTATATACATAGTGATGTATGGTTGATATAAGCACTAATTTAGCTGCTTTAATTTAATGATCTCTGATCTGACGCTTTTTCGTTATTGCACACTCCATTATCGGCACAAGGCTAAGCACCTACCTCCTTACATCAATCGTACATTCATTCATTCTTCATCAAATATTTTTAATGTATCTAATCTATACCAGGTCCCATGCTAGGGGACGCAGATGTGGCAAAACAGACAAAGCATTTGTTCTTTTCGAGCTTATAGTCAAGCAAGAGATACATTAAATAATCACACAATGAAATATAAATGGCAAGATGTCACAGGGGCCATGAAGAGAGAGCACGAGAGACCATGGGCGTGTGTAACAGGAGGACACAGCATTATAGTGTTGCACTGACCCATGGGGTAGCCACTACCCACGTGTGGCTATTTAGATTTGAATTTAAATTAATTAAAGTTTAAAATTCAGTATATCAGTCACAGCAGCCACCTTTCAAGTGCTTGGTAGCCATGAATGCCTAGTGGTTACCCTATGGAGCAGGACAGATCTAGAACATTTTCATCAGCACAGAAAGTTCTATTGGGAAGTGCTGTGCTAGTTCATTGTAAGTCCACAGAGCACTTTCCAAAGCTCGCGCACGTTCGTTTGTCATGCTGGTGTGATACTTTGGGCTGTTGTTCTGAGGCTTCCTTTAGAGATGGAGAAACAGGCCCAAGAAGTATGCTCAATTGTAGCGGGCCACACAGCTGGATCTTCAGGTGTCAAGCCTAGAGGCTGGTGTTTTTCCCCCATCTTATTTTAAATTATTTTAAGATTACTAAAATAATACAAGCTCCTAAACAAAAATCAACTGTATTCTGGTGTTCCCTTCTACACAAGGGGAGGGGGAGGAGGAGGAAGAGGTTGACCAGTTTGGTCCCAGCCATTTGAGGAATGCAAGCCCAGCGCAAGTCTCATAATCTCCAGGAATCTGGGCAGAGAGACGGACTAAAGTAAATTTCAGTATTGGCTCATTTGTTTATTCATTCAATGTTTTTCAGGCACTGTCCAGTACGAGGCAGGTGTGGTGCTTGCTCCTCTGGAGCCTCCTCTCATTCTAGCTAGGCAGACAGTAGTAGGTTAACAATACCATTTCATATTTAATGGTATTGTTATAAATAAAAGCAGGAAGCTATCTGGAAAACTATGTGGGCCGGGTGCTCCTTTGGGTAGGGTGGGAGATGTGGCATTTGCCCTGTGTGCTGAGTAATGCAGTGGCCTGAGTCAGATCATCCATGTGACGCACAGCACTGACTATCACAACAGCTCTGCACCAGCTCAGGGAGGTTCAGGGAGGTTGGGTGACTTGGTCATGAGATGAGGCAGTAAAAAAGCGGGGGAACTGGAACCCAGAGCTTTCTCCCCTGTATCTGGATGTATCCCTGAAGGGAGCACCTCAGAGTTTTCAAAGAAAAGTCAGCGTCAAAGAGACATAAAGCATGAATCAGCCCAGGGCCCTGGGAAGGCAGGGTAGTGCTGCACACTCTGCTGGCTTCAGTAAAATTGACAAGCTGTGTTAGTAGGGGCCCTTAGGATCCAAAATCCTTAACGGCAGTATGCGTCTATATCTCCCTTCTAGCTGTCCTTTCCCCTCTTTAAATCAAATCACTTAAAAAACACAACAAAGTGACAAAACTTTAACGTCTAATAGAAATTATAAGGCTGGCTGATTAGCTCAGTTTCTTAGAGTGCGGCTATAACACTGAGGTCGAGGGTTCCGGCCAGCTGCGAAAAAATAAAATAAGTGCATCATTACCTTAGATGGAAAATCGGTATTATTTATCATAAATAGAGATAAACCTTAAAGATAATACAACAAAATACAAACACAATGAGAAAAACAGTGTTATGCAGTTATGAATGTGTTCCATGCTTGAGGAATGCTCTGTTTCTTGTTAGAAGAAATCTTACAGATTTTTTTAGCAGATAATCCAAAGGAGAATTAATTTACAATTAATTCAATGTTAATTAATGCCAAATGTGTAACCCTCCTAAAATCATCTCCTTGGCCAAAGTGGTGGGCACCCTTCCCTTCAGGCAATTCCTTCTTATATGAAGGTGTTGGTCCTTTAGAAATCATCTAGGCCCCTGTAGCATTTATTGAGGGGGCGTCAGCTGGGCCCTTGAGGAAAACAGAGGCACCCAGATCAAAGGAGTTGGAGAATGGAACCCTCTTTCCCTCCTGACTCCTGCTGCATAACTGGATTGAGCATCATTTAGTCCAATGACTCAACACACTGGGCCTGTTTTCTCATCTATGAAATCCTGCCTCATAGGTTGTCATGTCTGGCATAGAGAAAGCCAATAAATAATGATCATAATCATAATTATCATCATCTACTGCCCCTCCTAACTTTCCCCACCGCCTAGACTGGTCCTTTATCCCTGGTCCTTCATCAGTCAGAATGTTTCCTCCTTTAAGGCCACATTCCCTTTGTGAAGGGAATCGGGGGTGTCTCAGTTCTGTCAGGCTGTACTCCATTGACTGGTTTTGGCTACAGGACTGCAAGGGTTAAACATGTCTAGCTGGAAACAGAAAAATAAGGGTCTCCTTTGGAGGTGAAGGAGCCTTGGACAGGAAGTTAGGGATCTAGTTTCCAGAACATCTGTGTGAGCCTGGGCAAGTGTCTTCCCCTCTAGGGGTACAGTCTCCTCTTCTAAATAATGGTAGAGGCAGTGCTGGATGAGATGATCCTGCCGTCAGAGACTCTGAGAACTCCCCTTCTCTCCTTCTGAATAGGCAGTTTTAGTTGTGGGCAAACCTGGACCTTTCCGGGACTTACAACCTGGTTTCCAGATGACCCCCCAGAGCCAGGGGGACCCAGCTGCCTCCTTGCTGAGCCACCGGCCAGTGAGGCTGCTGAGGAGGGTCAGGGCGCCCTCTGGTGGGGCCGAGGAGAAAGGCTCCCAGAGCTGTGAGATGAGCCTCAACATCCAAGCCATGAGGACCCCAGCGTTCACCTAGTCCAGCTCCCACATTGTCCATACAGGGAAATTGAGGGTCAGAGTAGGGGAAGATATACTCCGTTATGTAGGATTGCCAGGTGAAAACACAAGACTCCCAGTTAAATTCGAATTTCAGCAATGATTTTTTTTTTCGTAGATGTCCCCGGCAATGTTTAGGACATACTTCTACTAAAAAATTATTTGTTGGGTACCTGAAATTCAAATTTAACTGGGTGTCCTGTTTTTTTCTTTGCTGGATTTGGCAACCCTACCTCCAAGTCCACTCACTGAATTAATATCTGAACTCAGATTGCACCCTAGACATGGGTCAGGGCTGCTTCCACCTCATACCTGACCAACGTCTTTTGCTTGTAGGTCTGCTCAGCACTCCACAGGGGTGTAGGGAATGCTTGTTGACATCCTTCTGGGAGAGAGTGGGTGGAAGGACATCTGAATCCTGACTTTGATGATCACCAGGAGTGTTTAGGACAGAAGGGAGGTGGGTCCCTGTAGGGAATGCTTGTTGACATCCTTCTGGGAGAGAGTGGGTGGAAGGACATCTGAATCCTGATTTTGATGATCACCAGGAGTGTTTAGGACAGAAGGGAGGTGGGTCCCTCCACCACCACCAACCTCTGCTACCATCAAAAACCCACCTGCAAGGTTTTAATAATAGAGATGCCTAACATTCACACGCTGGTCTGATTTACTATGTTAAGGAGGGGCCTGGGCATCTGCAATTCTAAAAGTTCCCCAGGTGATTCTGATGCAGAGCAAAAATTGAGACACCCCACCCCCACCCCCCTGGGTTAACTAAAAGCAAGAACAGGAAACTGCTTGAATGGGAGGGATTTTTATTGGAATGTGTGACTAATTGTCCATCTTCACTATGCATAAGAATCATGGGGGAGGGTGGAGGAGGAAGGAAGGAATGTTAAAAATGCAGATGCCTAGCTCTGCTTCCAGGGATTCTAATTGAATAGGTTCAGGGTGGGGCCCTGGAATCTGCACTTTTAATAAGCACTAACCTGTATTTGTAATGTGTTTTATATCTTAAAAAAAACAAAATAAAACTGCAGCAAATATGGACAAATGGTAATATCCTTAAAAACAGATAATAAATATGTGAATATTCATTGTTCTATTTGCTGCTATTCTAATATTTCACTAAGAATACTTTCAGAGCTTAGGTGCATGTTAGGGGATTATGACGCAGGGGGCCTGAAGACCATACCTCGAGATACACTGGCTCAGAGGTAAGAGCGGAGAGAGCTGCCCACTTCCAAATACATGTTGGGTGCTCCCCATATCTAAGGCTTAGGAAGGTCGGGGAAGTTTCTGGGAGGAGAGGGGCAGGACCTGGTCTTGAAGGGTGGGTAAGATTCAGAGAAGTAGAGGGAATTATCCCAATCAGGAAGCAAACAGTCTGAGCAAACGAGGAAGTAAATGCCAGGACACTCAGATGTGACTTGCTCTCTAGTTTCTTATCAATTTTCCCTCTGTCACTACACTCAAGCCACGATGGCCTCCTTTCTGTTCCAGAAATGTGCCAAGGTCTGTCCTGCCTCAGGGTCTTTGCACTTGCTGTCCCCCCTCTCTGGAACTACACTCTTTCCCCAGCTTTTCATATAGCACCTGCCTCTGTCAGTCTCAGCTCTCAGTTCAAATGTCACCTCTTTGGAGAAGTTTTGCTGTCTACCCTTCATACTCTCATTTTCTTTTATTCATATTAATGATCATGAGCTATAATTATCCTGTTTATTTGCTTTTGTTGCCAGACCACCTTCCACCCATCACCTTACCCACCAACCTACAAAATATAAGTTCCATGAGGACACTCACTGCTGGGCCCCCGGCCCTGAGCAATA